AATAACTTAACTTTCCAACCAAAAGATGAAAATTAACAACGGCACAAGAATTATTTTAGTTACTAACCTTTAGGGATATTAAATTGGCGCGAAAATTGGAGAGAAAGCGTAAAGTAAGCGGAGTGAGCGATAGAAAACCACACTCACGAAAGTGGCGAGCGCTCACCGTGAGCAGCTCACAGAGCGTTTGTATCCAGTAGATAGATCTAGGGGATATACTGAGCGCTCAATGAGCGCTCGGTGAGCGGTCGTGCTTCTGGATGCACCCATTGTAACGAGGTGCGGTCACCTTCCACTACCGTTTCCAAAATTGTATAAAAGCGGAATCTTTCACCCTCTCGATGGAGAGTGTGGAACGAGCCAGGAAAGGTCACATATCGTATACTTGTTCCATCCTCCCATATAAGCCACTTGTATCATAAAAGTTCTACAATAAATATCATACTCTTTTATATCAAAAGAAAGATAAAGATTATTGAATACCTACCTTCGACGGATCCAAGGAGCCATAATCTACATCGCCGACCAACAGCTAATTATCCTGGGGTTTTACCTTTTTAACTGCAAGAAGAAGAACCCATCAACGGAGGCGTTCTGCCGGATCGAGCCACCTCGCATCACCCAGGACGTCACACCACCTCCATGATGGTGTCCGCTGTTTACCCGGCTTGCCGGGGAGCTAACGGGGTTCAGACGACTCGGGAGCACGCCCTGGGCTTTCGGCTGGTCTCGACCGGCGCCAGCGGGTTTCATTCCCGTCAGGGCAACAACGAGAGCATGCCCTGGGCTCTCGACCAGTTTTGATTGGTGCTAGCGGGTTTCATTCCCGTCAGGGTAATAGCGAGAGCACACCCTGGGCTCTCGGCCGGTTTCGACTGGTGCCAGCGGGTTTATTCCCGCCAGGGTAATCAACGGGAGCACACCCTGAGCTCCCGGTCGCCAGCGAGTTCATTCCCGTCAGGGCAACACAGCTGGTTGCGGGCTAGCAACCCCTGCCGGCTTATTATTAAATCGCTGGCAAAAACGGAGATGAAGCCTCGGACAACGGGGAACAAGGCCCCATTCCTCTGGAGCACAACCAGGGGGCTATACAAAGACAACCAAGGCAGGAAACACAGGTCTGTGAACTATCGTTCCCCTTCAGCCGAAGAGGATGCGAGAATTGCGCCGCAGCTGGAGTATATGGCTCTCACTGTTAGAGATGAGGCCCGGCATATGGAGGAGATGCATCCTCACCTGAACATCAGGTACAAATGCGAATGGTGTGGCAAGTCGTATGCGTCTTATCGTGCGGCCGCATGCCACCTTCCAAAATGCCCAGCAGCCAGGGCAAATGAAGGGCAGGGAACCGTAGAGCAGGGCCGGTTCGACTGCCCGGACTGTGACAGGAACTTCGTCACACAGCGTGACCTGTCACAGCATCAAAGACTGGCGCACCCGGTAGCAAGAAACCGAGTGAGATCGGAGCAAGCTGCTCCTAAGGTGATGGAGTTAAGGAGAGGTAGAGTTTTTCTGCCGAAGATGTGAGTAAGATGCTTGAGCTTGAGGTAGAGCTCAGAGATGAGAGGAACATAGCGAAAGCTATGGTTCCGTTTATGCCGGAGAAAACCCTGAGGCAAATAAGGGACAAGAGGAACAAGGCGTGTTACAAGAGGTGGCGAGAGCAGCGCCTTGAGAGTGCACGCTCGAATCAAGAACTCTTCAATGAGGAGGACCAGCAAGTGGATGGTGCACCACTGGAAGGAGACGATGTCTTTGTTGATGCGGAAGAGACCGAGGATGTCTTTCTAGACGTGGAGGAGGCACCGTGCGATATCTATAACTTTGACGAATCTGCGTCAACTGTGTGTTGGAGGCAAGCCAACATCGAGGCTGTGCTAAAGGAGCTCAGAGAAAATGAGCCCAAGGAATCGCTGGAAGTACAACAACACATTATCCAGCTCCTGACAGCAAAAAGTGAAGGTCAGGCAATAACACAAGAGGAACTAGATACAGCCTATGAGCTGGCGGTCAGTTTGTTTCACGCTCCGGCGCCCGGGAAGGTAGGCGGTACTTCCCGGGGACGCCGGAGTCGTAGGAAAGGGTCCTCGGGAAGAAGCGAGCGCAAAGCCCGAGCGTATGCCCGTACACAAGAGTTATACAGAAATAACCCCGCTATCTTCGCTAAAATGGTAAGAGAGGGAATGGACGTTCGAGCGTTGGATGTAGGTGAATCGGCGAGTCCTTCAGTCGAGAGCGTCAAAGAGCTCTACGAAGGGCTATGGGGAAGCCTAGGTCAATGTGATATCGACCAGAGAGAACGAGAGGCCACAGTGCCGTATAACTCAGCAGAAATTCTGCATCTCATCTCTAAGACGGAGATTCTGAAACGTTTCAGGTCTACACGGCTGAGGATGGCAGCCGGGCCTGACGGACTCCGTAAGGGAGATCTGATGAGGAATGGAGGCTATATCCTCCATGCAATCTTTAATGTTATAATGCTGGCGTTGAAACAACCAAGCGCGTGGCGTTGCAATAGAACAACGCTATTGCTCAAAGAGGGAAAGGACCCCTCTGTAGCGGCTAACTACAGGCCGATTACTATCTCCTCAATATTAAGCAGGTCCTATTGGGGCATTATGGATCAACGCCTGAGAAACGTGGTTCACCTGAATGCACGGCAAAAAGACTTTGTGCCGGAAATGGGATGTTACAATAACATCAACTTGCTAAACGAAGTACTCGCACTGGCAAAGAAAGGCAAAGGAATCGTTGCCACTCAGGTGGACATAGCCAAGGCGTTTGATAGCCTTCCGCACCCTGTTATCAAATATGCTTTACTTGGGAAAGGGCTGCCGGAGGAGGTGGTCGCACTGATAATGGACTCATACAAAGAAGCCAAAACGACTATGAAATGTCGTAACGAAACGTTCGACATAGAGTTGAGAAGAGGTGTCAAGCAAGGAGACCCTCTGTCTCCGTTTATTTTCAATGTCTGCATGGATTTGATCATTGACAGACTTGAAAGGATGGAAGGCTTTCAAGTCAAGGAAGGCCTGAGTATATCGTGCTTGGCTTTTGCCGACGATATAATACTCATTGCCGATACCAGAGAAGCGGCGAGTCGGCTTATGGATAAGCTTGTCGGCTCCCTTACAAGATGGGAATGGCACTATCGATTGGAAAGTGCGTTGCCTTTGGTATTGTTACCACCAAAGACAGCTGGTATATGGTGGATCCAGAAATATACAGCAATGGCGAGAAGATCGCCTACTGCGGCTCTATTCAGTCGATGCAATACCTAGACATACAGGTTACTCCATGGGAAGGATTAGTTATCAAGCGCGCAGTTGTACGGCTAAGGGATACGCTCCCAAGAATCAAGAGGCTACCCCTTAAGCCACACCAGAAAGTTGAATTTGTGGCGCGGTATGTCTTGCCGCACTTTTTGTATGCCTTCACCGCGGGCACTCTATAAGTGCTACAGAACTAAGAAAACTGGACCAAACACTAAGGACGGCGGTGAAAGACTATCTGCACCTTCCAATGTCTACAGCAGACGGTCTGCTATACGCGTCTAAGCGCGATGGCGGCATGGGCTTTCCCAAACTTGAAATTGTTGTAAGGTCCGCAATGTTAAAAACTGGTTTTCGTTTTCTGAACAATAGCGATCCGGCAATCCAAGCCCTAGTAGTAGCGTCAGGGCTGGAGAACAAACTAAAGCGCTTGGCGCACGTGGCCAAACTTGGCTGGCCCCTAGAGTCGAATAAGCAAATCGACGGTTATAAAAGCAAAGCTAAAGCAAACGAATGGCACAAGTGGGCGGAGCTACCGTCCCAAGGCAAAGAAGTGCCAGCCTATAAAGATGATAAAATAGGCAATGAATGGCTATACCGTCCTAACCTGTTGAAACCGTCTAGGTATATTACGGCACTTAAGCTAAGAACCAATATTGCGGCGAACAAGGTATCGCAGAACAGGATCGCCAAGACCAACAGCGTCATGTGCCGTAAGTGCAAGGCTCAACCCGAGACATTGAGTCACATATTGAAGCAGTGCGTATACACCAAGTCTGGTCGTATTAAGCGCCACAATGATATTCGAGACTTCATTGAACGCCACGTTTTGGGGCAACGTGGCATGGTAGTAACAAAAGCAGCTCGACTACAGGACCCTCATTTGAGGAATCTCCAACCAGACCTGATCATACAGTATCGGGAAAGGGTCTTCGTGGCTGATATCACAGTCTGCCATGAGGATGGTGATCTCCTAGAGAGAGGTAAAAGGGACAAGCTCGCTAAATATGCGTCCCTGGTATAACCCTACTTAAAGCTCAATTAGGAGCAAAAGTATGATCCTCCCGATAGTTATCGGGACAAGAGGAGCAATGCCCAAAGACACTGTTACCTATCTTCGTGAACTACTAATTAAAGACAGAGGCTCGCTGAGAACGCTAACACTTCAAGCGCTTAGGAGCTCAGTAGAACTTTTCCATATGTTTATGGATTATAACGCGCCTTTGCGCCTCAACAGCAGCGATGCTGCAGATTAAAAACTCTTGGCACTAGCTCACTGATGTAATTTTAAATACAAACGATGGTCTTGGACCTGATCCACCCAAAATTATTTATTTATCTTTTTGGGAGCACTCTACACTCCCGATTTTAATCTATGCCGGCACTTTTGCCGTTGACATCAGTGATGCGAGTCGCTCGGATGGGCACCGAGCGGCGGCAGAGCCGTGCGACCGAACCGCCCCGGCGCACGGGCGGACGCCTCCACGTGGCTCCCCGCGGTAACGGCAACACTAAGCCGGCCAAGTTCCGCTTCCCCAAGCTGGGGACTGCTTAAATAATTTTTCCAGCCCGTACGCAAGAATCCCGCGGCAGATTAGTCAGATGGGTTTCCCTTCTGCGGGAGGACTTGCCAAGAGTGCTAGATAGACCCAGTCAATATAAGATAGGACAGCACAAAAGTTATGCTGGATCTTGTATCCTTGTTATTGGGTAACCCGTTGCGCAGATGAGCGATCCATTAGTTAACCTGCAGGATCGCCCGAGCCGGGACCCGTTGTTATCAGGAACCGCACTGCCCTGAAGCGGTAAGACGCGGCGAAAGACGTGAGGAAAATACCCAAATGCCTCGTCATCTAATTAGTGACGCGCATGAATGGATTAACGAGATTCTCACTGTCCCTATCTACTATCTAGCGAAATCACTGCCAAGGGCTTGGAAAAATTAGCGGGGAAAGAAGACCCTGTTGAGCTTGACTTTAGTCTGGCACAGTCTCAATTAAAGTAATTGGTACTTACCTTGTGGTCAATTAAACTCTAGAGGATGGTCCTCTGTGCCCCAGTGTTCAGGTGTTGCAGCTCCGTAATACTGATGCAAGATTTCGGCACGCCGTTGCATAAATCTGGCCCGACGGGGGTCGACGGGTCCTCTCTGAGTTCCGCTATCAGTTTCAGCGACGGAAGGTGGGGTTGCTCGGGCTTAGATATGGGAATTAACTTGTAACTCCGGTTCTCAAGGAGCGTCCGGTAATTTGCTCAAAACTCTTCTCTTGACAACGGCACGTAAGTCTGGAAGAGACTATCGTTCATGCGTACTAAGCTTTGATTGTAGATACTTGAATTCGCATCCGTCTTGCATGCGGAATCCGCGGTGAAATAGCTCTCGTACTCCGGGTCTTCCGTGTATTCAACTCCTAACGAGGTTTAAAGAAGTAATGTACAATAGGAGATTCAACCTACGGGTGCGTTTTTTGATGCCACCTTTCCGCGTCCTTGGCATTTGTCTTTGGCCAATTGGTAATACAGAGATTTATAGAGAATATTGTCCAGTTGATTCTCTGTTGCTACGGCGAGAAAGCGTGCCGCTCGTACAGCACTGCCTCTTTCCGGACACCCGCAGCCGAAAGCGTGCCGCTCGTACAGCACTGCCTCGTATGCGAATGTGGTGCAAGGGGAGGACTGATTATTGTAGTGCTTTGTATTAGCACTAAATAAATGATTATAAAAGCGGGGATCGGCGTTATTCGAACTGGTGTAAAATGTGTAAGGGTTAGTAGAAAAATTTGTAGATGCGAGAGTTTATGCAAGAACGATTGTGTATTATTATAATACTATAAACTATAAATTATATAATATACTATAAATTATATAATTATTATAATTTTACATGTAATCGTATAACTAACGCGTGGTTACAAACCGAAAATCAATGAATGCTTATAATTAATACGTAGTTGTGATACTGGAATGTTCTGTTAGAATTAACAAAATGCATGAAGATAACACGTGATCGTATTTCTAGAGTGTTCTATATAAAATTACCGACGGCATATAGGCTAACACGTGATCGTATTTCTAGAATGTTCATTCCGAATGCGATGATACAGTGATACACGTGGGAATAGATGAGGGATGTAAAAAGTTCTGGCTATAGAAGTAGAAGTAGAAGATTCTGGATATAAGAGGATGTAGGAAGATGTGAAAGATTTCGGATATAGAAGAGTGTAGAAGGATACGGAAGGCTTCGAATACAGTGCTTACCCTGAGCTAGAGGTAGTGTCGAGTCCACGTCCGAAGAACAACTGAGAGAGTCCTTCGGGATGCTCGCCCTTATATACCTGTTCGCCCGGCGGCGGGGGTGCTGGAGTCGGTTGATGGGGGTTAAGCAAAGAGGGAAGATTCTGAAGGTTTGGGGGTGCTAGAGTCGGTTGGTGGGGATTGAGCGGAGAGAGAAACTCCTGAAGGTTCGGGGGTGTGCTACGCATTCTTGGGGACGGGGTCCCTATCGCCGGGGACGTGCATAGTGGCGTATCGGGAGGGCGCCTTTGGGCCACAATATAATCACGCTCTTACTTTTATCTAATGTCGCTCTTATATTTAAAGATTTTTATTTTCTGGGAGTTGTGGTGGGGCAGATGTAACACTACCTCTTTTGCCTTTTTCCCTCCCGGCTTCGCTTGTCTCCATCCTTCTTCCATTCCAGTAGAACTCTTCCCTTCAGTCCCCCTTCCGCTCTCTTCCTTCTCCTTTGGCTAACTTTTCTCTTCCCTTTCCTTCTCCACCTTTTCTTTCTACTAACCTCCATCCTTTTTTCACAACCTCCTCCACCTCCCTCCATTTTTCTTCCTTACCCGAACCATCCCCCCTCTCGCCTCTGCCACCTCTACTCTTCTTCTCGTCTTCTTCTCCACCCATCTACTGATAATCTCCCCTTTCTGCCAACTATGCCAACTTGACTTTCCCTCTCCTTCCTCCCCTTTCTTCACCCTCCCCCTCACCACCTTCTCATCCTTTTCACCTCTCTTTCTCTCGTCCTCTCCCCGTTACACCTCCTTCCGCCACTTCCCCCTCTCTTTCCCTCCTCCGTCTTACTTCCTGACTCGCTCCTTTCTCCAACACTCCTCCGCTCTCTCTTCGACACTCTCCTCTTTTTTCAAACCTCCTTCCCTTCTCTCTAGCATCCTCCAAATCTTCCCTAATTCATCTCCTATTCTGTTTAGCCCCTCATCAAATCCTCCAACCCCTCCACGCTCTCTCCTCTGCTGCCTTCTCTCTGCCTTTTCTCTCACCTCCCTTTGCATCACCCTCCTGCCCTTCTTCTCAACTCTCGTTGCCTCCTTTTCTACCTTCCTTTCTTCTTCCTTTCTCAGGCAGCGTCGCCCGGTGTCCAAGTACGCCTTTTTCCTCCTCTAATTCTGTAAAAGAATTTCCTTCATCTCACATACTCGACCTTCCTTTTCCGCCTCTGTCACCTCAGCCTTACACGCTCCCCTCTTCCTACTCCTTT